GTGTGTGTGTGTGTGTGTGTGTGTGTGTGTGTGTGTGTGTGTGTATATATGTATCGTTCTATTGTACTATCTGTTCTTAATGTTGATGTTTTCGTGTATTTTTTCTAGGATGTAACGATCTTGATTTGCATAAATGTTCCATTCTAGACATAAAGTGAGTGTATTTAGGTTATGAATCTGAATGCTTGACATCAAGTATCTGCCAATATCTTGTCTTTTCAATCTTTTGTTTATATGCTTATTGATTATATCAATACCTGAACTTCCTGTGTCAACAGATTATCTTATTAATATACCATTTTCACATTATCTATATCCATGCCGTGTCCTTGTACGCATGGTATTGGTAGTTACCAAAATTCGAGCAAAGTACATTGTTGGGGCGTGTACGCGGGAAATCAGGACATCATTGGGCTCAATTTTTTTTGCGTGGGCTACGGGATTTAATTTATTATTCGTCCAGCTTATATTTGAATCATTTGTTGCTTCATTCTTACAATCTTTACACACACACACACACACACCCATACACTCTGAGGAAGACATACACACACTTCCCTGTCATTCACTATGATAGTCTTGTCAACATGTCCTTACCCCCCCCCCCCCACCGGTCCGCATGTCTACAGACTTACACTCTAGCAGAAGTTGAGGAGCGATGGCGTGTGTTGATGTACAATCCCACAGCGTCTCAGAATGCGCTACAAGACATGCACGCGTTTGCCCAGATCCCAGACAACCAATCCCAGGGCGCGGCTGTACCATTCAGCAGAGACGAACAGTTGATCCTCACGCGGATAGACTCGTTGCTGAACCATACAGGAACACGAACACAGACAATACCACACACCCACCGGCGGGGCAGTACCTACGCAGCCGCAGATGGAGATAGTAAAGGCCTGGGGGTGCATGGTGAGGGTCTCACAGGACACCGAGCGCTGGCGCAGGAGGGGTACAGAGCAGCGGACTTACACACACACACACACCCACATACAAACACGCGGCCGCATACACACGAGTATGGGCGTGTACATACCCACGAGTATGTACCAGTCGATACATGCGCACGAAGGGATTTGGGTGGGGAGCTGGCCAGGGCACTGCAGCAGTTGTTGGGCGATCATCGAACGGTCTTTCACCCGTCTCGGACCGTCGCGCAGTTGGAGCAACACATCGAAGACCTGCGACTGTCCGGGGTGTGGAATATGCTTATCAAACTGGATAGCACACGTGAGCGTAGCCGTACCGCAACGGCACCCGGCTCTGCGGCGGCCGGTGCAGGCGCTGCTGCCACGGAGGGGGTTGCCATGGAAACGAGCAACATTCTGAGTGGGAAAAGGCGGCAGAAAGACCGGATCAAAGACACAGACAGCTACAAAGCCGGCAGTGGTGGCGCGGGGACACTCGGTGCGAGCGAAAGCTTGTCTAATGTGCACGTACACGGGTTAGTTGGAAACGAGGGTGCTGTGCTGAGTTTTGAGGATTATGAGAAGGCGCTTATAGATGCACACCGATTTGGCTGGCGGCGGATTACTGCGTTGCCAGAGAGGGATGAATGTAGTGAGCCCGAATGCTGTACGGCGGGAACGGCGAAGGCTGGTACTGTAGATGCGTAGTATATGCTATTGAGTCCCAGGCTTACGGAAGAACTTACACATATATATATATATATATATATATTACTCAAAACACATATCAGTATACATATGGCTCATTCAAGAATTGATATTGGTGATGTTGTGTGTGATCAATAGAAGTACACCTGAAATTTTCTGATGTATTCAATGCACTGAAGTTACTAGAGTAGCAGTCGGTCTATGTTGCTGTTGTTCCTCAAACTATGTGGTAAAAAGTCAATATCTTTTATGTATTTTGGGTTAGAAGTCCATTCTGTTGAAGAGTCCACCTTTTGTCTATAGTTCGTGCAAACATATAGTTGCCTACGCTTACATGCGTATCGAGCCTAGTTCTGTTTCACACTGTTGTACTGCGAAAAACTGGCACCAGTAATTTCCGCGCAAATCCCAAACATGGGATCACAATATGATTGAAAAATTCTAGTTCAAATCAGGTATCTGGAGCGCGCAATCAGTCACAATGGTCTGATCAGCACTACTGTCTACCAAAGCATCAACAGTGACACTTGCCATATCTATTTTTAGCGCAAGCTCGTATTTTGAAGTACAGCAATGACAAGAACAAGATGCTTTACGGCATTGCCAGCTTAGATATCATAGTCGAACACCAGGCGCGTACCAAATATTCATCCCTTGCACATCGAGGTACTCAACTGTTGTAAGTAACACAAACATCATTCATGCATCGACCACAGTGACATCTCCAGAACCGCATAAGCTCACCCCTACTCTGCATTCATCACTACATATTTCAGATACGAAAACCAGGCCCAAGAGTCACAGCAAACGGTCGTTCTCGGAGGCGTTTCCACCCGAGATTGAGATGGAACTGGCAATGACTGACAGACACGCCAAGCACAAACTTAGGATTCTGGAAAAGCTGACAGACTCATGGCAATGGACTGCACTTGACGATGCGAAAGTTCATGCAACCACTAAGCTCAGGTGGGCATGGCATGTGTATATTGAATTCTTTTGATTGGTTATCTATGTATGTGT